CCCAAGGCAGGTCAGAGCTCTCCCATCCCTCAGACAGCTCTGAACTCTTAGAGAATGAGGTGTTGGCTTCTGTACCCTGAGGACTGCTGTGAGACAAAAGGAACATACTGCAGCCTCTCCAAGCAGCAAATCTCTTCTACCCTTTCTCCCCAGACTTGGCTTCCTGCTGGCCCTTCAAATCCATTACCATGCTGACCTATACTACAGATGCCAGCCCTCCAGTGAAGGAGTTAAAAATCAGGGTGGAGGAGGAGGCCAGTGAAGGATCCACTCTATCCCAAACTCCAATTACAGAATCCCTTCTGACCCACTTTTGCATTCTTCTCACAAACCCACACCTCCCCACAACATCTGTGAAGATCATCCCCACACTCACACTAGCTTAGAGGGTTGGGAGAAGGAAGGGGCAGTATTTGGGAACAGCTCTTCCTTGCTACTGGCCTATTGATGTGCTCAAAGACACAAGAATGTCATGTGGTCATCAGATTGTGACCCACACACAAAGGAGCACCGTGAAGGCTGCACACACTCAGCTGATGAGGGAACTAGATAAGACGCAGTAACATCCTTGGCATGGAGACTGAGGCAGGCTGTGGGCCAGCTCCATCTAGTGGTTTTCCACAGGGCTGAGGTGGCCTGCAGGGAATGCCCTCCAGCCTCGTGCCCATTTTTGGTTTGTTTTTTTTTTGTCTTATTGAGACAGGGTCTCCCTGTAGCCCCAGCTGTCCTAGAACTCACTATGTAGACCAGGCTGGCCTTGAACTCACAGAGATCTGCCTGCCTCTGCCTCCCAAGTGCTGGGACTACAGGCGTGCCCCACCACACCCAGCCTGGTGCCCGTTCTTATCAGTCTCCCAATCTGAAGCTGAAGTTCAGAGGCTGATATGATGTGCTGGCGACCTGTGGGCAGAACTGAGCCCAGGTCAAACTGTCCTAGAACTCTGGTCTCCCTGTCCCTCTGGGAGAGAGCTGCCTTTGGATGTTGCTAGGCCTGTGTGGACAACAGGATGGTAGCAGGCTGCTGAAGACATGAGATCTTCGGCACCTTTTCAAGGAGACAACGCTCCTGCTTGAGGCATACTTGAAAGCTGAAAGGACACTAGCCAAATCAGACTTGTTTATTACAGTAGACCCTTCCTTACTCATTCAGTAATGGTGATCTATGTCATATAACTGAAAACAAAGCTGGATTACATACCCTGGATTCAAATCCCAACTCCAGGGCTGAGGATGTGGCTCAGTTTATGGAGTGTTTGCCTAGCATACACAGAGCCCTTGGTTTGGTCTCCAGCACTGAAGAAACTGGGTAGAGTGGTGCATGCTTATGATCCCAGAACTTGGGAGATGAAGGAAGGAGGATAAGAAATTCCAGGTTGTCTTTACCTACATACTGAGTTTGAGGTCAGCCTAGGGTACATGATCCTGTCTCATTAGAATAAAACAATAAGATCCCAGCCCTGCCACTTGCTAGCTATCAATCCCCGAGGAAACTACTCAGTCTCTCTGTGCCTTAGTTTCTTTGACCACGGGATGAGTAGACTATCAAGGAACAACTATCTTAAGGATTGTAGAGAAGCACAAGCGACAGTGCATATTGGGAAGGCTCGCTGCCATCACCAGTTCAACACGGATTAACAGTGTGCCTCTGGGTGCCAAGCACTATGTTCAATACTCACCAATATAATTAAAATTTAATGTGAGTGAAGTGCAGAGCAGAGAAGAGCCAAGAAGAAAGAGAACACACAGTTCCTCCCAGCCAAGCTCTTTGGAGCCTGCCCTGGAGATGTAGTGTAACGGCCTTTTCCACGAGGCCCTCTGTGCTGGGTTCCAAGACCTAAGACAAGTCTCACCTATCTCTGCAGGAGTGAATTCAGAGATGGGAGCACCGGAGAACAGGACTCAGGAAAAGCACGATACTGCCCGGGTTCAGAACAGATAGATTTGCTGGCCAGGGAGCCAGGCTCAACGTACCAGCTCCAACCTCCTCTGTCATGAATCTTTTCCTCCCTGGGAGCAGAGTGCTAGGCATTAGAAAAGACCTACAGGGCCAGGATGCCTGGGGCACATGCCCACTGGAGGAGAGGATTACTTCTCTGGTGAATCCTGCCTCTTTGATAATCCTAGTGCTCAGAGAAAGAATGCTAAACTGAAGGCCCTCCTCACCCAGCTAATTCCATATCCAAGCAACACTCAGGAGCCTCATTCCCTGTGCCCTCCGACATGATCACCTCCATCTTCCCCACTTGTCTGTCAACCATTCCAGACAGTCCCTCATTCCTGCTGATGCCCTAGAACCTATTGCCTGAGACTAGCCCACCCCTCCTGCATGCCTCTCTCCCACCTAGCCGAACTGGAAGTCCTGAGTCATCTGTGATCACTTATGAACCAGGATCAAGTTCAACCTGGCAGCTTCTTAGGGGTTCACAAGAAATTCCTTTCCTGTGAAGAGCTTCTGTTTTCCCATCATCAGAAGTGCTAGCCTGGTGGAAATGGATGTAAAGATCTATGCTACAGTGTCTGACTGGAGGGCCTCTAGTCCTTACAGTGGGAAGGAGAGCTTTTCCTGGCAGAGGAGGGATGGGACTAAATGCAGCAGAATCCCTGCATATGGTCTGTGCACTGCACAACTCCAGGGGGCGCCATTCACACTGTGGCAGACTAGAGTTATGCAATGCAGGGGCTGAGTTAGCAGCCTTCTTTTTGGCTTTCAGCAGAGGCTGGCAACAGATTACCCAAAGCCAAACACTCCTGCTCAAGTCTTCTGTCCTATTTCTCTCCCTGACCCTGTCCTCCTGCACCCCCAAAATGGTGCTTTAGAGAAAAATCTGCTTTTCCAAAGCATGCGATCCCCTCCTCCCCCATAAATGCCTGCTCTCAGTGAAAGAGTTCCATGAATTCTGCAGGGGCTAGTCCTGCAGTTTCAAAACTGGTGCCTTTCTTTGGATTGGGGGTGGGGGTTAGCACCAACACAGCCAGACAGGTGGGGAGCCTGGGCTGGGCCTGCAGGTGCTGGGGGTGTCAAGACAGTCATTTATTTGCACCCATTGGGTTGGCTACTGGAAGCAGGTGGAGGAAGGGAGGTGGAAGGAATCTATTATTTTTAAACCCTCACTGTTCTGATTAAGCATTTCTTTTCCCTCTGACCTTCACTAGTCCTATTCGCCTATTCGGGCAGATCAAACAGCCAACGAGTCAGAGGGAGGCCTGGACCAGTGACACATGGATTCCTTCCGGAAGGGCCTGCTGCCGCCCCCTTACTGCTGGGCCGCAGGTAGCAGCAGGAGACTGCGCTAATCTGGGCTGGGCCTGCAGGTGCCTGGGGAGAGCCTTGCTGGGCAGCAGGCTCCCGCGGCTGGTGGGGCAAAGATGGAGATGAAAGGCCCACCCTGGGGTCCAGCCCCACAGCCTGTGGCACTGCGGGTGGTTGCTCTTTTCCTTCTGTGAATAAAATCCTGCCAGTTTGACTTTGGAAAGAAGGGGTGACTTGTGTCACCAGAACAAAACCGTGGCTGGGTGTTCTATGGAGCATGTGTATTTTTTTTTTTTTTCAAAGAAATGTCTGTCCTAGGCCGGCTTCAAAAAGAAAACTACCTGTTTTCCAAGCTCAGACGAGTTAAGTTCAGACCTTTTCCCAGCCTCTGGGTCACCGACTGGGGCCTTTGTTTCTCCACTAATAATCGGCAAGTATGCCCTACCGGCAGTGCACCTTAAAATATTAGAGCAAGGTTTTTATTCTACAACAAAATAAAACTGTTTTTAAAATGTCTAAGGAACCTGTGGATGCTCACAGTTTAAAAGGAAGTGAGGACAGCCACGGTGTGGCTTGTGTTGAACTAGGTGGGTCGGATCAGGGAATCTGAAGCATTAGGAACCAAGTGTAGAAGAGACTTTCGGAGGTCAGGGCGTCAACTAGTTCGGAATCTCCGGGCCCATCTTCCCATCGCCCCCAACTCCCAGGTGCCCAGCACCCAGCCACGCCCTCCCATCCTCACCTCAGCCCAAGTCATCCTCCCCCACCCCCTCCAGCAGGAGCGGCCCTGCGGGAACGCGACTCCGATACCCACCCCATCCCCACCCCCACACCGATCTACAGGTGCGGGTAAACAGAGCTGCAGCGCAGCGCCTGGCCGGTCCGCAACCGCCTCCCCGCCCCCAGCTGCAAAGCTCCGCCCAAGGTTAAGTCGGGGTTCGCGCTGGTATCCGTCGGGGCCCCAGGCCCAGGAGCTCTGGTTTCTGCTCCTTATGCCCACCCGACTAAGGATAGGTCCCTCTTCCCCCTCCCTCCGCTCTTCCCCCTCCCCCAATCTTGGTCCAGGAAAACCTGCCTGAGATGTTGTGCACCAGGACCCCAGCCTCGGCTTGTGGACCCAGACTTGGTTCCGGTGGCCACCCGGAGAGGGCCTCGGGCATTTTCCTTACTGTCGGCCCCCCCATTTTGGACACGCCTTCCATCATCTCGCCTTTGGAGGCTTGGAGGACCCACCCCCCACCCCCCAAACTCAAAGTCCGGGTCACCGCTCAGTCCTGCGCCTTGACCCCGAGGTTGGCGCGGGTGGGGGGTACCCAGCCGGCGGACGCTACCTTCCCCGCCCGCCCCACCCAGACCTGCTCCGGCTGCAGTGGCCTGTATGTGCAGCCTGCAGCATCCACCGGCCAGGGACCTGGTCCAGGGGTGGCCCGCAAAGAAGGGGACAGGCGGAGCCCAGCTGCGGCCCGGGTTCCCCAAGCCCAGCTCCGCACCGCGCCGCGGGGCAGACCCTGTAGCGAGCGTGAGCCCTCGGAGTGTGTCCTCGCCTGAGACGCTCCAGGCGGGTGCGGGACCTGCGGGACCGGTGGCCACAGGGACGCGGGGCTGGGACGCTCGGTGTTGTTTACTCTCGGCGCGGGGAGCCTGTGGGCACGGGAGGCTCTGGATGCGACGCGCGGCGGGGGGTTCCTGCTCCCGGCCTCCCTCCCCGAACCCGCGCCCCAGACCCGGCCCTCGGCGCGCCGCGGCTCACGTCTCGGAAGCGGTTCCAGTGCTTGATCTTGCCGCTGTACTGCGAGATGGACGACAGCCATTGCTCGTCCTCCATGAAATTGCCGGGGGTCTCGCCCTCCTTGAGCCCTTTGGCGTCGCCTTCAGCCAGGGCGACCACGGCCAGGAGCAGCAGCGGCATCACCAGCCGCCCGTAGCCCGGAGTGCGCATCGTGGTCTGGGGTTGGACCTAGGGGGGTCTCTACTAAAGCAGGATTTGATGTGGTTCCTCCGCCCCGCTGCTGGAGCGAGCGCTGCGGTCCTGCTCAGCCCTCCTCCTGCGGTCTGACTCCGGTGATTGACGGAGGGTGGGTCGCGGCTGAAATGTGACCTGGTTAGGAGATGCACTTGTCTGAAAAAGCCCAGTGCTGGACGCGGAAAGGGAGAGAGAATCAGAGAGGCTGCGCCAGCAGGGGCTGTGTCTGTAACTGTAACATCAGCATCACGTTTGACATCATCATACCTGGTTTAAAAAAAAAAAAAAAAAAAAAAAAAAAGGAGGGGTAGATTTCAAAGCGGAGCTCTGGATCAGAGCAGCCAAACCAACCAGCCGCGGCTCAGCATAACGCAGCCCAGCGCTCAGGGAATTGCAGACCAAGGGAGCAAACTCTGAGATGTTCCTGCTGTCTATCAAGGGTGGAGAGAAAAGATAGGCCCTGGGGTCTCCCCAGAGAAGAGCGGGCTGGAAAGAAGACGCAACTCTCGGGTTACCAAGCCAGCCCGGCTCAGGTGTCTAAAAGAGAATTTGGCCGCAGACAGTTTTTTTTCCTCCGCTTGCCTCCCACCCCTGAGGGGCCTGCGCCCACAGCCCTGACAGCTGGCTTCCTGCAAGTTATGGCTCCACCGTAATGGGTGGCTTCCTTAAGACAAAAGCCATATAACAACCGGCTGCCTCTGAACTATTGCTCCCCAGATCCTTGCGCTCTTTTCAACGCAAGACCTGAGCACTGAATGGCTGAAAACGGAGGCAGATGTCCTCCTCCCAGCAGCTGTTTAGGGGCTCACCCCTTTTGTTAGCTCTTCCTAGAGCCAACCCGAAAAGACTAGTGTCTGGCCAGCTCTTCTGCCTTGATGATGAAAGTCTGGAAAGGCCCATTTGCTGATGGTTTGACTTCATGTTGTTTGATAACAACATGAGCCCATGGGGAGAGGGCAAGGTGTCAGTGTCGGTGTGAGGCTAGTTTTGTTGGGAGGTTGTCTAGGTTTTTGTTAAAACTATAACCCTCAGTCACTATCTATAGAAATGTGTTGACTTACCAGCTGGGAAGGCTGGCAGCTGGGCACAGGCCCAGGACCAGAGTGGAAATGGGGTTTACACTGCAAATAAATGGAAGAGGAAACAGATAATCTGACAGGACAAAACATATTGAACGTTTGGGACCCAAGCCCTATATTGTGTTATTATAAAAGACTTGGCTGCTGTGATCTTAAAAAAAAAAAAAATCAAAGGCAAAATGAAAAAAACATGATCTTAATCAGTAGGAAAAAACAGAGGTTATGAGGTTTACAGTCATCCTGGGTCTGGCATGCCTGAGTGCAGCATGCCTCGGTGGCTTGGGCTGGGGGCCCATGAGAAAACAAAAAACAATAGCTCTCTTCACTGTTTTCTTGGGTTTCCTGTGGCATGGCTGCAGGCCTGGGACTGATGTCTTCATCCCACAATGGATGCAGAGCCCTTCCAGGTGGCACAGTGGCACTCCACAGTGGAGACCTCAGCTTGTTGCCATATGAACTGGAGAGAACTGAGAGAATCCTAGACTTTAATGATAATGCCACACATATCATACAACGGCTATGAACCTTGAATGAAATGTCAGTTATATAGCTGGGGATACAGCACATTTAAAAACAACAGCTCTTCCCCCAGGCTGGAAAGAGAAGTCTATGATAGCCCATAGTTCTAAGGATTTACCAAAACTGTCCATTCCCCCTGACCCACCTTCTCAGTCCTAGTGTTCTTAGATAGGGTCTCATGTAACCCAGGCTGGCCTCCAACTTGATATGTAGCTGAGGATGACCTTCAACTTCTGATCCTCCTGTCTTCATCTCTCAAGTGCCTCCTGGCTCATGTGGTGTTAGGGATCAAACACAGGGCTTCATCCACGCCAGAGGAGCACTCTACCAACTGAGCTACATGCCCAGCCCCTCAATCCTAGTCTTTTTAGCAAGCTACCTATCGCTGAAGCACTGAGTAGATCCTAGATACAGCTCCCTGGTTCCAGTATCAGCTTAGGAGGTCTCTAGTCTTCTAGTAACCAGCATTGCCTAACAAAGTTTGGAAGAGCCCTGACCCGATGCCCATCAGGAAGAACACAGGTACCTTCAAACCCATGAAGGTCAGAACATTTTCCTCACATGGGCAGCTCATCCAAGGAGACCTGCCTCCTATAGTACCTTCAGAAAGCAAATCACTACAACCTAAGACTGTTAGCTAAGTCAAAGGTGAAGCTCTTTAGGAGAGAGAATCCAAATTTTCAGATGACAAGTCTATGAGTTGTACAAAATAACCAATAATGTAGTTTATGAAGAAAAAAAAAGGTTTTTCTAATCTTTGAGAGAATTATTGGCAGGTCAGCTTTTCCAAGCCATAGCCCAAAACATGAAGCACTGCTTGGTGCATTATGTTAAATAGTATACATGATCTTTCACATTTTTCTGTAGCAATAAAAAATGGAGAAGAATCTCAGTTTTCTAATAAAAAACCTAAATCCAGGGCCCAGCATGGTGATGCACACCTTTAATCTCAGAACTCAGGAGGCAAAGGTGGGCAGATCTCTATAAATTTAAAGCCAGCCTGGTCTACATAAAGAGCTACAGGGCAGTCAGTGCTACATAGTGAGATTCTCTCTCTCTCTCTCTCTCTCTCTCTCTCTCTCTCTCACACACACACACACACACACACACACACACACACACACACACACAGCGCTAGAGAGATCGCCCCAGAGTGGAATATCACTCTGTCTCTACACACACACACACACACACACACACACACACACACACACACACAAAACGGGCTGGAGAGATGGCTCAGCAGTGGTTAATAGCACTGCTTCTCTTACAGAGGACCTGGGTTCAGTTTCCAGCACCCCACATGGCAGCTAAAGGCCGTCTGTAGCTCCAGTTCTAGGATATCTGAAGCCCTCTTCTGACTTCAGTGGGCATTGCATGACATGGGTGCACTTACATACATGCAGGCAATACACTCATACATATAAAAAATAGTTTTTAAAACACCCCAAAACATCTGCATCTTGAAGACACTTAATTTCTGGATGACCCTGTAAGTTCAAAATGGTAACTGCACAAAGATACACTTCAAAATTGTTCATAATAACCAAATCTAGACACCAACTCCATGCCCATTAATCAACAGTTGATGAGAAGAGCTCACAGAGATTGTGTATTGGGGCTGCAGATGTACTCCAGTGGTAGAGCTCTTGCCTAGCATGTACAAGGCCCTGGGTTTGATTCCCAGCACTGCAAAAACCTCCCTAAGAGATCATGGTGTTAGTCACCTTTCTGTCACTTTGACAAAATACCTACAAGAACTTTTAAAAAGCTTGCGTCTCATGCTTTCAGAGATTCCCTGTTGCTTTGGCTTGCTGGCAGCAGTGAAGATCATGGAGAATGGCAGAGGGGCCTGCTGGGCTCATAGCGGCTAAAAAGCAAACAGAAGAAGAGGCTGGGTTCCCAATAGCTTCTCTAAGGACACACCCCAATGACCTAGCTTCCTCCCACAAGGACCCTCCTCCCAGTAATGCCACAGGTTGGCTGGTGACCAAGTTAAACACATGGGCTTTGGGGCAGCACTTCCAAACAACAGCAATCATGTGTAATGTGATTCCATTTGGAAGACAGTGTGGTATCATATGATTTCCAAACTTTCTGGTGTCAGGAGCCTTTTACAACAAAATGTTACTGAGGACCCCAAAGAACTGCTGTTTGTGTGAAACAGATACACATTGATATTTAGTGTACTTGAAAATAAAATTAAGAATTTAAAAAATATTTAATAATGTATCCATTTCATACTAATAAATCAGTATGTTTCATGAGAAACAAATGTCTCACAATTAGTAAAAAAAAAAAAAGTGGCATTGTTTCCTTTTTTTATTAATTCCTTTAATGTCTGGTTCAAAAGAAGACAGGTAGGTTCTTATCACATATGTATCAGAGCAAGTATGTTTGTTTTCCAGGACCACATAACAAAGTACCAGAGACCAAAAGACCTCAACAACCAGGAGTTTATTTTCTCAGTGTTCCTGAGGCTCCAAGTTCAAGATCAAAGAAAGTGTTGGCAGGTTTGGTCTCTCCAGAGGCCCCATGTCCTTAGCCTGTAGATTGCTGCCTTCTCACGGGGTCTTCATAGGGTCTTCCTCTGTGTAAATTTTGGTCCTGTCTTCTTGTGAGTCCCAATTTCCTCTTCTTAAGGACTACAGCCCAACTAGCTTTCGGTCCACAATAGGGGCCTCATTTTAGCTTAATTAAGCCCTTTTAAAGGTCCTGTCTCCAAATGCAGTCACAGGGGTTAGGGTTAAACAGAGTTTTGGAGGGACACAATTCAGCTCCTAATAGCAGATGGAATGAAAATACTTAGCAGGAGAGCAGCAAAATGGGCAAGTTAAGCCTTGAAAATGCATATTTATGGTCTCAACCAACTTACTATACCCTACAAAATACAAAACCACACAAGTACATAGTACATTTAACTACCAGAGTGACATCACCACGTCATATTACCTCTTAGAGGAGAGTAAAAAGGGCAAATAACACCTTAGTACTTTTTTTAATTAAAAATTTTTTTTTGTCTTTTTGAGACAGGGTCTCCCTGTAGCCCCAGCTGTCCTAGAACTCACTATGTAGACCAGGCTGGCCTTGAACTCACAGAGATCTGCCTGCCTCTGCCTCCTGAGTGCTGGGATTAAAGGCATGTGCCACCACGCCTGGCTTAATTTAAAAATTTTTTATTTTATGTATGTTTTGCCTGCACATATGTAAATGCATCATGTGCATGTAGTGTCTGTAGGGGCCAGAAGAGGACATCAGATCCCTTGGAACTGAAGTTAGGAACAGATGTTAGCCAACATGTGGGTGCTGGGAATAGAACCCAGGTCCTCTGTAAGAGCAGCCAGTGTTCTTAACTACTGAGCCATCTCTCTAGTCCCACCTTAGTACTTTTATGGAAATAGTCTGGACTTCACAGAACCCCTCTACAGGAGATTTTTAGAGATTTCCAGAAGTCTAAAGACTATATTTTTGAGATCAAAGGTATATAACATATGACCTCAGGCAAATCTCTTTTCTTTT